AATTGGTGTACACATTCCCGTCGTAAGTCAATGTTTTACATTTATATTACTCATGCTAGGTGTGTTCATATTTGGTAAATTTAAGCAAGGACTCAGAAATACTCTTTGTATATACAGTGTGAGTGTTTAATAATAATAATAATAATAAACGGTTTATTGAAAAAGTTTGCAGCCCAAAGGCTAAAAATATACATTGGACATAAATGACTTATGTGTGTGAGTGTGTGTGTGCGTGCTTTCAGAGCAGTCATTTTATATTAGGAGCCTCGTTATTTCGTTCACTAAGAGATTGTGACACTCATACAATGTGACGTCCTTATGGCCGTAAACAAAATTTGTATATTGTAAAATCACTTTTAGATGAAGTGGTTTGGGACTGAATTCATTCCGTAAAAGAAGGATTTTCCTTAAACCCGGTATAATTATAATGTGAAATAAACAAAACTATGAATTACTTTTGAAATTAAACATGCAGATTTGTGTTTTTCTTGAATTCAAAAATATCTATTTGATTGTACAGGCAATGACCGTTATACGCTGAGGTGAGGGACCTGAAAAACCTATCGCGAAGTGATCAACTGTATATTGATATTATTAACTTAAGGGGAAAAATAGGTTCCATTCCTGAGCTCATGAAGAGCCCAAACAAGTTTTATCTCTTGCTGCTATAATGATTAAATAATGTCTAAATAATTCAAATAATTTATAAATAGACATAAAATAAATAAATTTATACAAAATTAAGAGAAAAACAATAAATTTTACAAAATAAAGATTTATTTTCATTTACCTTGCATGATATGTACGTACAGTATACAGTACAGTAGTAGTAGTTGCGATCCCCAGCTGTCACTAAAAATAATTTCAAATAGACATACGTAATTTATTATTATTTTTTTAAACTTTGTTGCATGCACACAAACTGTCATACAGAATGTGCAAAATAAATAATTATTTTAAGGTCAAAAATATAAAGCGAGTTAGTGTAGATTGTGGGAGCGTGTGTGGGGGGTTATTCGTTGGGGTATCGGTCAAGCTGTGAGCTAAGTTCTTGTTATTTTTAACTTGTAATTTTTGGGTGGATACTATATTTAGAATATTTAAAAAGTCAGTTATGCTGTGCCCATAAGTTTTAAATCACCTTTATAGACATTTTGTTAAAAATAGACCATTTTTAGTACAGTATACTGTATAAACATGTTAGTTTTCACTTTAAAAAAATAACGTCATTTAACGTCAAAAATTCACCTGATCCAATTATATACCTAGTTTTTGGCACTTGGTATCATACCATGGATTTTGCTCAAATGTCTTGCAAAGGTACTACTTTACATGCTGATTAAGGATCTGAGTTCATAGTTTAGAAATTCAAATAATTAGTGTGAATTACTCCCTCTTCTCTCTCCCCACATGTAGTCATGTCTTTTCAAAAACACTATGAAGATGTATTCATAATGTTACCTACATTTTAAAGCAAGAGTGATAGGCAGTCACTATCCAGATACTGTATATAATATTATAGAGGGTAATTATTAAAGAATGCTGTGTGTTTGGATACACTAATTCCCTGCTTTAGTATTGTATGTGTACAGTTAGTCCTTGTTTATTGCATGGGTTCTGTTCCTAAAGACCCATGTGAAGTGTGAAGCTGTGATAAGCAAAACTATTTTTCCTAAAAGAAACAATATATTACAGGGGGTGCATTCCTGGCCAGGAATTTTAGGGTTACAGTATTTAGTTTGTTTTGTCCAGAAACAATTGTAAATTGATAAAAAATGTGTAATACGCATAATACAGTTGAGAGGAATATGCATATTCTCCCCCTCATGGTTGTTCATCAACCATAGTTTTTTCACCACTCATGTCATTTGAGAATGTCTAATTTCACCTTTAAAATAACACTTATTATATCATAATACAGTACCCTGTACTGTACTGTACAAAGTGTGCTTGGTAGAGCACTGGCACTGTGCAGTGTTGTTACTCACACACATGACTGTGTGTGGCATATGTTTTTTGTATATACAGTACTGTACTCTATTTCATTTAATGTTCTTATACAGATAAGTCCCTCTCATCTGGCACCCTGTGGTCTGGCATTATTTGTGAATGGCTGCCTTGGCATTAGGTTCCTGCCCTCCTACTAAGTTTGTTTACATCCCCCAGTCTGTGCTCCCAGTGTTTTGTTTTGTCCTGTTATTTAGCTCTAATTTACTCTTTACTATGGCTTCAAAGAGACCAGAAAGTGGTGAAAGTGATAATAATACTGTGCAAGCAACATCTAATATATTTTAAGATACACGCACAGTACAGTACTAATATTCCCGCCAAGCACATTTTATTAATAATACAGTATAGTCTGCATTTACGCGGTCAATTGAACCCGTGGAGGTCCGCGTAAAACGAGAAACGCTTAAAGTGAACAACATAACATATGGGATTAATTGAAATAGAGACCGGGCCGACCCCCAAACTCCACTTTTTCAGACACAATACCTACGTTATAGTAAAAATAACTTCTTAATTTTATGATGGTATGCACACACAATTAATAATTAAGAGAAATATCAATAATATTAGGGTTTTTTAACACTTACATTAGTAGAAAAGATGGCTGGGCACACGGGGATGGGGGGTAGGTTCCGAGGCAGAGGGCAGATTATTGGCCCTCACCTGTATCACTTGTATCAATTGTATCACTATCCACCACAGAGGCTTGCAGGGCCTCTTTGTCAAACCCCTCAAAGTCCATATAAGTCCATATCCTCACTATCATTATCACTATCACTGACTTGGGCCGGCTGTGGTGGGTGGCGGGTGAAGAACTCGGTAATGTTTTGATGACTGGGCGACCTTGTGCGTACACTGCTCGCGCCACTCTCCGTGTAAAAGGGTACACACATCGCGGAAAGTGAGCATTCCGTGTTCGGCAGGGTACCGCGTAAACGTGGAAACGCGTAAAGTGGGACCGCGTAAAGCGAGGGTTGACTGTAACAGAACATATGGGATTAATTGAAATAGAGACTGGGCCGACCCCCAAACTACACTTTTTCCGACACAATACATACGTTGTAGTAAAAATAACATCTTAATTTTATGATGGTATGCACACACAATTAATATTTAAGAGAAATATCAATCATATTAGGTTTTTAACACTTACGTTAGTAAAAAAGATGGCTGGGCACACGGGGATGGGGGTTGGTTCCGAGGCAGAAGGCAGATTATTGGCCCTCACCTGTATCACTTGTATCAATTGTATCACTGTCCACCACAGAGGCTTGCAGGGCCTCTTTGTCAAACCCCTCAAAGTCCATATCCTCACCATCACTGACTTGGGCCGGCTGTGGTGGGTGGCGGGTGAAGAACTCGGTAATGTTTTGATGACTGGGCGACCTTGTGCGCACCCTGCCCGCGCCGCTTCCCGCATTAATGATGAAACTTACCGCGTAATTAAACATTTCATTCTGGCAATGCACCGCGTAAATGACCAAACGCATAAACAAAATCCGCGTAAATCCAGACTATACTGTATATGCAATACAAACCCATCACATAATAAGACTTCTGTATTTGAATATAAATCTGTACACTGCATCTTAGTAACTGGATTGTTTTCTTCATCTTAAGATGTGTAGTGTACACCCATATTGGGCTTACATAAGTTACACACGCAAATTTAGGATTTTAACCACTTGTCAGCCTACTAGCCAGTTTGGTGGTCAGTCTGTTCTCTAATACAACCATTGTAGTTGTGTTATACATCTGGTAGCCACAACCCTCAGTTATCCCAAAGCATGTGTATTGGTGGATGTCGCATGTATGTTTGTTTTTCTCTTTTTTTTTCAGTTTATTTTTATTCTATTTGACTGATATATTCTCGTACCTAAATATTATGAATAGTGCTTGGACAGAAGAAAGCTGTATACAGTGAACCCTCACTTTACGCGGTCAATTGAACCCACGGCGGCCCGCGTAAAGTGAACAACATAACATATGGGATTAATTGAAAATAGAGACCGGGCCGACCCCCAAACTCCACTTTTTCAGACACAATACCTACTTTGTAGTAAAAATAACTTCTTAATTTTATGATGGTATGCACACACAATTAATAATTAAGAGAAATATCAATAATATTAGGTTTTTTAACACTTACATAAGTAGAAAAGATGGCAGGGCACACGGGGATGGGGGGTTGGTTCCGAGGCAGAGGGCAGATTATTGGCCCTCACCTGTATCACTTGTATCAATTGTATCACTATCCACCACAGAGGCATGCAAGGCCTCTTTGTCAAACCCCTCAAAGTCCATATAAGTCCATATCCTCACTATCATTATCACTATCACTGACTTGGGCCAGCTGTGGTGGGTGGCGGGTAAAGAACTCGGTAATGTTTTGATGACTGGGCGACCTTGTGCGCACCCTGCTCGCGCCGCTCTCCGCGTAAAAGGGTACACACACACACCGCGGAAAGTGAGCATTCCATGTTCGGCAGGGTACCGCGTAAACGTGGAAACGCGTAAAGTGGGACCTTGTAAAGCGAGGGTTGACTGTACACTGGACCCCCACATTACAGAATGGATGTGTTCTTGAAAAAGTGGCCGTAACACGAACCATTTTTTCCATAGACTTTTTCTCATGTTAGAAGTGAAGATGTTTTCACACGGAAATTTTATCGGTTCAACAAAACTAATAAATACACATGTATAAATGGAGACATACATATAATTTATTTGCTTGATTCATCTTCTTACCATATCCTTTCTTCACCATCATCAATTCTTATCATTATCCTTACAATTATCTCTCCTTTCTTACTGCCCTCAGTCATCTTATCACCACCACCTCCTGCTCAGTTTTTATCACTACCATCTTTTTCTCCACATTATTAAATATCACGACCAATAGGTTGTTAATCTTCATATCTTATCTGATCATTTAATTTTTTTATCAATTTTGTTTTAAGGTATTTTTTGAAGCTCCTTTTCATCTCTAGGGGTCAGTTCATTGTTTACCATGATGGCGACATTACTAAGCCAATGGTGGAGAAGAGAGTCTGGGAGAAAAATGCTTTCCACTTCGACAATGTAGCAAAAGCCATGTTGACACTCTTCACAGTCTCAACATTTGAAGGCTGGCCTGGGTAAGTGGTAACTTGAAATATGTTATTTGTGTAGTCCTCCACTCAGAATTAAATATATTTTTTCCTGTATTTAGCTAGAATTATTGTTCAGTATCTTAAATGTATTTTCTATATTCACTGTACTGTAGTATTGTTAAAGGTCTACAACTTTGCTGGATCATAAAGTATTTTATCAGGAAAATGATATTGAAAGAAGTAAAGAAATGTCAATAGAAACTTAATTTGATGACTATGTTGTTGTAAAAATAACCAATAGATAAAGGATCTCTCACAATGATGGGTAAGGTAATCAAGTGTTGAGTCAGACATATTATTTTGTTTTACTGTATAGGTTGTTATATGTGTCCATCGACTCCAACACGGAAGATGTTGGTCCAGTTCATAACTACCGCCCCATGGTGGCTGTCTACTACATCATCTATATCATCATCATCGCCTTCTTCATGGTTAACATCTTTGTTGGTTTCGTTATCGTCACATTCCAGAGTGAGGGTGAACAAGAGTACAAGAATTGTTGCTTGGATAAAAATCAGGTTTGTATATAGGTCCTGTAGAGGAAGTAGACAAAGCTTATGAGATTACAAGTCAGTATAGTACAGGAACCTCTTGATATATACAGTATATATATATCGAGAGGTTCCTGTACTATACTGACTTACAGTCTCATAAGCTTTGTACAGTCAAAGACAAAAGTCGTGTCGTGAAATTTGGTGAAAACATATGCCGAAGGGCTAAAAGTTTGGTGTGCTCTGCCTTGTGGTAAGGGGCTCTCATAATGTTTCTTGAGTTATATTTAATCTTCGGTCAAAACCGCAACACGAATGTTGTCTTTGACTGTACATGTTGAGTAGATCTGACTTAATAAGGAATTTCATTTTGGTATTAACAAATCCATGTCCCACTGAAATATGGCAAAACATGTGCATTATCCACTCAGATTTGTACTTTTTGTAGCCACATACCCTAGAAAATGCCCAAATATACTTAAGTGTAGTATTCTTATGGGAAAATTAAAACTTCAGTATGTAGGAGGGTATTCAAACAAAGTATAAATTGTATATTGCATGAAATTACTTTTACTGTACAGTATAATTTTGTTGTAAGAGTGAACAAGTAATTAAGGTTTATATATATTATGCATTGTTGACAATACTAATAGAAGATTTGAGGCACTCCACATCAGAAGGGGGTGAAGTGCCAGATTAAAAAAGCTGAGAAAAACGCATTTATAGTTTTTCTAAGTTCAAACAACCATAACTTTTTTGTTTTTTGAGCTAGAGGGTTCTTTTTTTTATTGTGCAGCGCAATCCCTCTCCTAGCGAGCAGTGAAAACTGTAAGTTATTACTGTGAGTAGTTATTATTTTATCGCGAGTTGAATGAGAATAACTACCCGTGATGTACAGTTGTTTGAACTTCAAACCAACAATAATTGCATTTCTCTGCAAAATTTTCTTATTATTGTGGGCTGTAAAACAAGTTAATGATTACCAAAAACAGCACTTGTCTTACACCCCCCCATAACCGCCCCAAACCCCCCCAAAAAATTAAATGATAATAAAAATCTCATTTGCCTATCAGTATTTATCTTTCCATCCCTATTATTAGCCAGAGATTTCTAATATTGTTAAGTATAATAGTGTGTAATAATAAGGAAACACCACTACACTCATCCCCCCACTATTAACCTCCCCCCCACCCCTCCAATATAATTAACATACGAATACAAAGGCTGAGAAAGTTTGCATAATCTTTGGTAAAAACATTATTATGATAATAGTATTACAATCTTACTTTGTTTAGTTCCTTCGTTTTATTGTCCTTGAAGATCGTAGCAACTCTTAGTTACGAAAATCCTGAGGAGTGCGTATAACTTTAATGGCCTCGTCATAATCAATCACGTACTGATCAAAGTCTTTCTCTGCCCGTCTAAAAATCGCCACACAGATTCTTCATCAACTAAATCATTGATGATTGATGCCAGCAGCAGTTCAGTTTCATTATAAGACTGAGTTATGGGCTCACTTTCACTAGCATTTGTTGGGTCAGGCTCACTTCCATCACTATCAAGGTCTGTCTCGTCACTGTCCACTTCTACCTCCTCACAGTCTGTATGTTCTTGCTGTGATACATTATTGTCACTGTTTGTGTTACCATTAGACTCACTTTCATCATTTTCATCTTCACTTTCATCGTCATTATTGCCGTCAGTGCAGGTCACTTGACTGTATTGGAACACAGTCTGCAAAAAGGTCTTGTGATGCATAGGAGTCACTCTTTGTATTATGAGTATACCAAAATCACTATCACTATCACCAAGCATTCCTGGGGAGTCCACGTGAGCACTGTCGTCACTAAACACATGCTCAGGAATAATAGGTTCCTGAACCCACACCAGAAGGCCTGGCCTCACTCGAGTCTTGCTTTAATATCGGGCAGATATTGCACAGCACTTCTCACACCCGTGGAACACGAATAACGTCAATGTTACGCCGAAAAGTATCAAAAATAGCAGTAGAAAGTGCACTGAACTTCCTTATGCTATATAATGTGCCAAAATTAACAAGGAGGCAGCATCTGGGTGCGCGGATTGGCCGAGGAGCCGTGACGTAGCAAGGGAAATCCATTGTGATTGATTGCCTTGGGGGGTATGGTCCAAGGGACGTGCGCTGTCATTGGCTTGCACTCCTCTCGCTCTGAACGGGATGTTGCCACTTTCTTGAACTGAGCGCACAGCCAGATACAGTATGTAGCTCCAGGCCTGAGGTGAAATCACACCTTATTTTTGAAGGATTTTCTACCATATTTCTATTCTAGCTAGAGGGTTACATCCAACACCAACATGTAGAGGAAGGGTGAAAATAGTAATTTCCATCAAAAAACGCATTTAGGCCGGGGTGTCACTTCACCCCCTTCTGACACGGAGCGCCTCATTTGATCTATATACAGTATGTATCTCTTTTAACGCAAATTAAACTAAAGTTTTCCACTTCTCCACTCATTAACAAATATTGTGTTCAGTTGAACATTATTGTATATACTAATTCTAATTCCATCTTTTTCACTCAGAGAAACTGCATCGAATTTGCTCTCAAAGCAAAACCGGTTAGGCGCTATATCCCCAAAAATCGGTTTCAATACAAAATCTGGTGGTTTGTTACTTCACAACCTTTTGAATATGCCATCTTCGTCCTCATCATGCTCAACACCGTCTCCTTGGCAATGAAGTTTCGAGGGGAACCAGAGACCTACACTCATGCCCTGGACATTCTCAACCTCATCTTCACTGCCGTCTTTGCACTTGAGTTTGTCCTCAAGATAATGGCCTTCAGGTTCAAGGTATGACTACATATGTTGGTAACTAAATTTTAGAGTGTTTATCAATAATATTGCAATCAAATACTCATGGTTGTTTTCATTTACAAGTATGTTTCTACACTCTGTTAGAGCAAATGTTATGTATACTGTACAGTACTGTGTGTACCAGTATATATATACGTATATATATACTGTATATATATATATATATATATATATATATATATATATATATATATATATATATATATATATATATATATATATATATATATATATATATATATATATATATATATATATATATATATATTATTTGGCAATCAGTGGTCTGGCACCACTACTGGTTTGAAAAAATGTCCAGGAGGGGAAATTTCAAATTTCCTGGTTTTCCAGGGTTTCTGTGCAACCTCCGCATTGTTTACTTAGCTGTCGCTTTTATTTTCATATTATTGGTGTACCATGCTTCCCCCCCACCAAATATTTAATTTTCAATTATTATTTAACCCCAATTATGTCTGCAAAGAAAGGAACAATTGTGGCACAAAATATATACTGTACATTATTCCTTACTAATACAAGAAGAGGTAGAACTTTTGAAACATCTTGACAGGTGTTTCGGTAGCAATGCTACAATTGAAAAATTATATTTCCTTTGAAATTTCTGTAATTTAACTAACCATGATATAGATAGAAACTTGTTCTCTGAATGAGTTTCTATTGTATTTGAATTAACAAATGAGAATTTTCATTTCATATGCTTGGCCATCACAGTCGTCATCATCATTAATGTTTTACGGCCATTTTCCAAGGTTGCTCAATGCACAGGTTAGCCATGATTACGTGATGCCAGATCTCCATGTTACATAGTCTCTTGCAGCCTCTCTTATCAGGTTGATGAATTTACTATAATTTCTTATAACTTCTCCCCTTGACATAAACAAGCAAATGGTCAATGTGGTCTATGGAGGATAGGGGTGCTTGGCACATGAAACTCTCTATCATAACTCAAATACAGTACAGTGTACAGGTGTCCCTCATTTAGCATTAATTCAGTTAACATTATTTTGATTTAGCAATAAGAAAATTTTGACACCCTTTCTCACTTAACATTAGGTCAAAATTCAGTTTAGCTTCAGCTTGACTAATTATGATGGGCAAAGAACTCGGAATGAGGCGGCCAGTGAGATGACATGATGGCATGAGAGTATTGTAATGATTATTCCACAACCTTTATAGTTTCATTTCTTGTAACAATGGCAACATGCCATCTGCATGGGCATTATTCCTCGTTATCCCTTGTTTAGCAATAATTTTGCTTATTGTTAGGTTTTTCATGAATATAACCCCATCATTAAACAAGGGATACCTGTACAGTACCTTAATTTTATGCCAATGAATTTTGCAGTACTGTACAGGTATCCCCCACATTACAGAAACTCAGGTTGCAGAAATTCGCCCATACAGAATTTGTAAATTATGACCGCTAAATTCGGGATACTGCTCATAAATTCGACCTTACGGAAATGGAGTAAACTTCCCAAATTTCAACACAAAAAATTACTATTCAGGTATAGAACCCCCCAAAAATTCACTGATATTGTAATTTATTTTGTGCTGATTTTCTTGGTGTTTGCTACCACCAAGTGTGGGTATACAGGGTACCCACACTGCTGGACTCAGTTTGTTTATATCTCCCAGTGTGTACTCTTGATCTCTCAACTCCCCAGCTCTTGGATTTAACACTTATATATGTATCTTATTCAAGACTGTTCAGTGTATAGTAACCCTTATTCAAGATGAGTGGAAAGAGGCCATCAAGTGCCAATGAAAACAGTGGTGCTAAAAGAGCTCATAAATTAATTACATTGGATATAAATCTTGATGTTTTATGGAGTTTGGTGGGGGAGAAAAACTTAGTCAGATTGAAAAAACATGAGGGCTTGCTATGTCTCCCAATAATTCCCATTGCTCCACCTCAACTCACGTAGCACTCAACATCATTTGTGGCGACTTAAACTCAAGTGTTTTGTGTTCTGTACTGTATTTATTATCATATTATATCATAAAATAATCAGTGTACGGGTAGTGTTTAAAATGTTTATATTTTCATTCATAATTGAACTTGGATTACTTCTTTTTGCTGAAAAATTTTCTTCAGAGATTCATCTCCAATTATATTATGGAAGTCAGTGTGAAAATGGGGGTTTACATTACAGAATTTCACATTATGGTCAACTTTTCACAGATGCATCCCTTCCATAACTCAGGGGATTACTGTACATTAATTTAACACCCATTTTCACTTGATGTTTGCATGAACGGTAGTACCCATAGAGACCTGGGTGATGGAGTAAAGATTCCTACTCTCTCCATAAGCTTGGAAATAAGCAAGCAGTGCCCACTTAAGTATGTTTGAGTGCTTGGCTTGTTTAATTCACATGATAACTCTTTGAATGCTCTCAGACTTCAGCTCCTGTTGAAAATTTTTAATTCTCAAATCACTAAATAGTGAAAAAGTGGTATAAACTAATTGTTCAAAGGTTATCAAAGTGTATAGAAAATATTGTACAGTACATAAATGAGGCATACTATGTACCTCCCCTCTGGATGGGATATAAATAATGTTTTATGGTAGTAGTCTTTTTTTTCTTACTCTGGGTCATAGAATGGGGCATTGTACTACAAGCCAGTGTTTGTTTCTACTCTCAAGAAACTACAGTATTTTTAGACCAAATGTTGCACTGGGATATTGTTAATGCATTATTATTTGCATGATGATTACGTATTAGAAAGTTAAATACTTTGCTCTTTTTCTTCAATTCTTATAATTTTTGTTCAGTGACAAGAACTGAGAACATACTTCTTGAAAACAACCATGATATGACTTATAAGCTTTTTTCTAATAGTTTTTATATATATATATATATATATACAGTATAGTCTGCATTTACGTGGCTTTTGTTTACGCGTTTGGTCATTTTCTCGGTGCTTGCCAGAATGAAAATGCTTTAATTACACGGTAAATTTGGTCATTTAGGCGGCAAGCGGCCGGAGAGGTCCAGACCGCCGCATCATTTTTAATCCCACGCGGTCCATTCTTGACCATACGCGGGAAGCGGCGCGGTGAGTGGTGCGCATTAGGCCGCTCTTTCATTATTGCTGACGTCATATGACGTATCGAACTGTGATTGGGCCACGCATCCTTACCACCCACGTATTCCCTCCGCCGCTAGCTGTGATTGGTCTAATGTAACATGATGTCCCCTGCCACCAGAGGTTAGAAGTCGCTGACCTAGCCGGGCCTGTCTCATTGTTCTCAGTCCGCGTATACAGTTCTCTCTTGTGCCCGCTATTCCCCTCACAACTCACAATGGCTTCCGCGGGACCCCCACCACCAGAGAAAAACCTTGAATTACCTGGACCAAGCCATGATAATGTGAAGGAAATCGTCGAGTTGGGGGAGAAACTTAAGCTCATCCTTGACAACGACCCAGACAAGCATCGGTATGAAGTGTCTAATAACCATCTGACGAAAGTTATAGAGCCATATATCCAGATCTACCTCGACAACATCAATGCTAGCCGTCAACATAGTAATGTATTGAGGATTTCCTTGCCCGCAACCCACCACAACCACAGCCAGCCCAAGTCAGTGATAGTGACAGTGAGGATATGGACTTTGAGGGGTTTATCAGGGAGGCCCTGCAAACCTCTGCGAGTAGTGAAAGTGAAAGTGATTCACCGGAGGGCAACTAATCTGCCCTCTGCCTCGGAACCAGCCGCCATCCACGTGTGCCGACCCATCTTTTCTACTAACGTAAGTGTTAAAAAACCTAATATTATTGATATTTCTCTTAATTATTAAGTGTGTGTGCATACCATCATAAAATTAAGATGTTGTTTTTACTACAACGTACGTATTTTGTCGGAAAAAGTGGAGTTTGTTGGTCGGCCCAGTCTCTTATTTCAATTAATCCCATATGTTCTGTTATTTCATTTACGCGTTTCTCATTTTACACGGTACTCCACGGGTTCATTGACCGCGTAAATTCAGACTATACTGTACTGTATATACAGTTTAGTATATGGTAAAACTTCTCATTAGTGGAGTCTTTGTTTAGTGGATTACCCCCACTAGCAGGTGATAATCATTCTGCTGTTGCTGTCTGCTAATGGGAACCATTAATAATAAAATACAGGTTGTACCTCTCTAGTCCGGCAACCTCGGGACCTGACCGGTGCCGGACCATGGAAATTGCTGGACCATGGAAATTCACCCTTTTCCTGGATAGATAGTGACTTGTGCTTATGCTTGGAAGCACTAGCACCACTTTCTCTGCATCATGGTCTCTTTGAAGACACATTGAAGGGTTAAATGTCGTAAAGTAGCTTCTCAAATTTCGCGAGTTTTTAATTCTTAACGTATTTTATTGGAACACAAAAAAAAAAAAATAAATAAATTTTGATGGCGGAAACTTTGATTTCGACAGGTTTGAACGGCCCGCCAACGTGCAGACGACGTGCATAATCGTGTAGACAGCGTCATTTCTCTTGTGTACAAAAGATTCATTATTGTTTATTACTGAATGTCTTTTTTATTGAATTAATGTTTGTGTGCAAAATGAGCAATACAATTCATTAATAATACTTAGAATATTAAAACACACAAGGAAATGACACAGCATTGTTTTCGTTGATTACAAAACCAGTGACTGACTGTTTCTACATACAAAACTGAAGAAAGTAAGACCTTGGTTGTAGCTGTAGTAAAATTAATATGGTTGTTTTAAGTAATGTTATTTAATGTTAATAAATGGAACAATAGAAGTAGCTAACGATAATGGTAAAGAAAAAAGAGATCGCGTATGTAAGTGCTCACACGTGAAAACATATCGTCGTTACTTTACATAAGAATATGAAAGCAACACTTATTTACTGTTCATATATATTTTAATTAATGTTTCTGAATTTGTTTTTATTGAATTAATGTTTGTGTGAGCAAAATTAACAATGCAATTTATTAATAATACGTGGAATATTAGAGGAGACGAGACGGCTGCCGGCATTGTTTATGTTAAAGCTTACAAAACCAGTGGCTGATTGGTTCTACATATAAAACAAGAGAAAATAAGACCCTGATTTTAGCTAGAGTAAAATTAATGTAAAAAAATTAATATGGTTGTTTGAAGTACCTGTAATGTTATTTAATGTTAATAAATGGAACAATATAAGTAGCTAACCATTAATGGTAAAAGAAAAGTGAGACTTCGCGTATGTAAGTGCGTACATGTGAAAACATATCGTCATTACTCTACATAAGAATATGAAAGCAACACTTATTTACTGCTCATATATATTGAAGGGTTAAATGTTGTACTCTGTATAGACAAGCAGAGAGAGAGAGAGAGAGCAGCCGAACTGCCGGATGTAAACAAACCTTAATTTCCCGCGGCTTTGTTGTTGTTTTTTTAAGGGGATTAGCCCACCCGGGCATAGGTCACTGACCCACATTGGGGCCTGAGGGGCAAAAATTTAATACTCCTGTAATAATAATAATAATTCAGAAAAAAAAAAAAAAAAAACCTGCCTATATACCTACCGTATTGGACAAACTAAAATCGTTCCGGACTACGGGAGTTTCCGGACGACAGAATGCCAGACTAGAGAGGTACAACCTGTAATTTAATCAAGAGGTATTTTTGGTTATGAGATTTTCTGTGTGGTTCATCGTGTTCCAACATTTTAATATGTAACTGTTGTTCACTGATGGTAATCATCTGTGGTAAAATCTGTAAAGGGAGAATTCTTTTACATTACTGTAGTACAGTATTAAAGTTAATGTTCCATGTTACCAGCTCACATTTGAACTTGCTCACTTGCTGTGCATGTTTTGTTACACAAGTGAGAGAGAGGCCTCATGATTGTTTGAGTTAGGAAGCCCCTGACATGGTCATCAGGAGAGGAGTGTCCTATCCATAAAGTCTCCACATTATCCCGTGGTGACAGTTGTTTTTATGAAGCTTTAATGTGGTTAAAACATTTTCACACGGAAATGTTTCACACATTTATTATAATGTTCGAAGCGAAAACACTAGTGTGACCTAGTAAAGACAATATATTACACAAATTGTTGATTAAATAGGTTTGTATCAACATCCAATTTGCAGTATACCCCTACACCATATTTGTTCTTTGTGAGATTACAAATTACAGTACTGTACTGGTTTGGAAATCACATTTGGAAGAGCATTTACTGTACTGTACTGTACTGTACAGTATTTATTAACTTTTTATGGTAAATATTAATTTTGATTGCTCTCATGGCCTCCCCAAAATTTGACCTCTACTTAATGGACAAGTTGTTATGCAAAGCAGTCTACTATCGGGAAGTTCTACTGTATTTTTTTCCTTTTTTTTATGAACACAGGACAAGACAATGTCACATATATTTTTTTTACAATGCTCTTTTATTTTAGTGTAAAATATTGATACTTTGAAATTAACTAAGCTTTTTTGGGGGCATTAATTTTGTTCTCTTTATTAGGTTCAGTTCATAGAGATCTGAGACAGGCATTGCATGTACTGTACAAGTAATTGATCCATATAAAAATTGAAATTACTCCAGTTCAGTGGTTGTAGTTTTTTTTTATTTATGACAAAACAGTTCACATGAATTCGAATGTGAAAGAACTTTGTCAGTTAGTTTATTATGTTTATGTAGAGCTTCATATTTTTCTTTCACAATTTTTTCATAGACTTAAAAATATTTACCAATCTTTTTGAAAATCCTTCAAGCAGCTAATTTAAACTACCATTATATTATTTTTATTTCCTATTACTTACAGAATGCCAGAATAATGCCCCATTTATTTTCACCCCCTGCGCCATTTGCAGTTTTATTTTCTAGATCCGTGGAATATCTTTGACTTCTCTGTGGTGCTGGGCAGTATACTCGACATTGCCTACTCCAGGTTGGAGGTTTGTAAGAAACCATAAAAGTTGGTGAGAAGCATTCGTAGGCTAGCTGCTGCAGTAGGAGTTGGTCTAAAATAACTGTATGGCTACCGAATGCAACTAAAAAGTTATACGTGATGGGGTTTGTTATTTCAAGTTTTGTAGATAATATGATTTAGGGTCAATCCATAGGACTCTGTGTCATTGTCCACAAGATTCAGAAGTAATGAGCCTCATTACAGTCATCCACAGGGGAGATGCTGTAGTGTTTGGTGATATTCATTGTACAGTATTTATAATAATATCTCAAGTTTACTGCCCTAACCAGCAGTATGGATCTTCAAACTATTTTCTTTCAGTGTGAGGCTGCTGTAGCTGTGTCCTCCTCCATATTAATGCAACCAGACTCTGCATACAAAAGAAAAGCATTCTTGTAGTTGGGTCTAAAGATGGTTTGAAACAGGTTTTGCACTCCGGTCTTCAAAAGGTTTCTCAGGCTGAATTAGTAACCTAGTGTTCATTCTCATCATTAGTAATTATTAGTATCATAACTTTGTTGTGAGTGAGTTCAGAATTAATTGGTGTGAATGCATTGTTTACCAAAAGTTACACTGTAATTGAGAACACCTTGAGTATGTTTCAACAAATTCTACAAAACATCTCCAGTCCTCTCTATCACAAGAATGTTTCTTTAAATCACTTTTATGAACAAGCTTCAGAAACCCCATCTCCCCTTCCTCCATCAATGAACCAACAGCGCCACCTTTGACTTAAGCTGCCTAAACTGGACATCTGTGTAGAACTTTAAACTCCTAAATCCCATTGTGACACTGGTCCTCTTAATTATAATGCTGTATATCTGCTCAGTGAGTAAGTTTGTGGCTGCCTGCATCGTAGGTAGTCAGTCAGGTAGTTTAGAAAGGTTTGTAGCTAATGTATTCTTCACTTTCTGTACTGTTTGCAGTATTACTTTGGAGACGCCTGGAATGTGTTTGATTTCATCATTGTCCTTGGCAGCTTCATTGATATCGTCTACTCAGAGGTTAATGTAAGTATCTTTCCATTATCACATCATTTGAGGAAAACCACTTAAAATTTTCGTCCAGGGTGTACACCTTCCTATGACTAATGGACAGAGCCTTTTACATTCCATGATCCTGATGAAAATATTAAGATATTCTCTGTTGTTAATATACTGAACTGTACTTTAAGTAGAAAATGTTGAAAAAAAAATTTCATTTGAAATGCAACAAACTCTTCATTAGAAATATGTATGTAATGATGTTGAGGGAAGTTTAAACAAATATACAACTTAATATTTGGGAAGAAAAGAAAAATAATGAAAAATAACATTTGAGAGGAAAATCTCTAAGTTACATATTGTGTAATGAGCTTCTGTATTGTGGAAGCTCACATTTTTTGTCAGAATTTATGTTTTGAAATAAGAGTTTAGGTGCTCTTAGGATCATTGTTCATTACTGTAATTTTGTATAATACCCTAACTGCACACATGGATGGATTCTGTAATAGTTTTTGTCAGCAGAAATATACATTGATTTAAGTGATATTTTTTTGTTGTAAGAGGCATCTGTTGATTCTGCAGTGAGAGGTAGGTAAGAAGACTTTTTTTTAACTATATACTGTACTAAATAAAAATGAGAATCCTTCAGTTGATAACTTACTAAAAGCTTTAACTGGCAATGCTGTTATAGACACAGTTCCAACCCTCAGTCATCATATTTTTAGTTTTATATATAGGCTCACAATGTAGGTATGGATTAGGAAATTTAAGAAGATTTCCTTTATTGGTAATGATTTGTATTCAACATTTTTATTTGTATTTTACTCTTCTTTTACCCTCTAGTTACATATCATGAGTAAGAACTTGAAAAACGTCATCATCGTACAGTTTCATCCTCACGTTTATAACTTTTGTTTAGGGATTGGCAAAAATCCAAAAAAAATAATAATAAAAAACTGGTAAGTGTGGTTTGTTTCTTGTTAAAATTTTGGTTTCAGGGTCTTTGATTAACATATGTGTGTGTCTATATATCTATGTTTGTATGTGTGTATGTATGTATGTATGTATGTATGTATGTATGTATGTATGTATGTATGTATGTATGTGTGTGTGTCTGTCTGTTTGTCTGTCTGTCTATTCCATTTGGCATTAAGATCTGGTTTCATTCTTTATTTTTCTCTATGTACGTATTCGCTGATACAATTTTGCTACATTTCTTGTACACACGTGTTCATACCTTACTGTACATTATGTTTATTTGTCTCTGACCACTATTTGTCACTGTTTTTGTCTTGATCACCCTACTATACCCGCTTTCTTTTTCTTTCACCTGTCACCACTATTCATCACTGTTTTTCTCATTTTTACCTTATCCTTTTTATTTAATCTCACTCAAGATTATCAGATTCATGTTAGTCGTCACGAATCGCTTTTAATTTTTTTTTATTACACTCGCCCTTACGAACTAAACCTGTCATTGGGTTCTGAATTTCCACCCCACTCTTTCACAATGTTATACAGAATAATTATTTATACACAATTTTTTATAATGCACAAAAAAAATTATGGTAAATGTGGGTGAGATTTCAATTTCTGTATAAAACAAAATAAGCAGCAAAAGTACCAGGTTTTAGTGGAGGTTGATGGAGTTTTACATGTATATCTAAAAACAACTCAATTTCCAGAATTTGCACTGATATCACTCACATGTTATATCTTGTAAATTAGTAGTACGTACATATGACAGGTATGTACTGAAAGTTTATGATACGTATACCGGTAGATGATTGATGTTATACAAACCAGAAAGTTAATAATATGGATATGCTTAACTTTTGGAAGCCCAGATACTCTTTTACTTTGATAGTTAGAGTGCAAGACACCAAAATCTAGCCAACATTTTGTTAGGCAGTTTTATACTGAAAATTCTATGATTTTTGCCAGTCCTGACAAATTTATGTTCAACATTAATTACATCCTCACTTACTAAAGCTCCTTAATTCATGTTTATTAATCACCCTCTAACTACAATCTTCATACATGTTGACAAAATGGAATTCCATCTCTAATCCACCATTTTGTTACTTCACCTTAGTGTCTCGGACATGACTGAGCACTGGTGTGGCTGTATCATATCTCCTTGTGTTCGTAGGGTGTTCTCTCATGTAGGAACTCACCCATAACCTGAAGCTTAGAGCTGATGATAGGCTTCCTCACCAGAAACTAGTGAGCAATCAGGCGCAGGCGGCTGCAGAGAATATGGGCGCCGAGTACTACAGGACCAGAAAGGTTTGTCCTGCGTACTGCTAGGTATGGAGGTTGTACTGGCTGATGCTCACTGTTGATCTTGAGCTTCTAGAAAACCACACAAATTAATTTTATTCACAGAGAAAAGAATTTTTATGATTACTAGACAAATAATTAGATTTTCACTGTTTTTATGGAGATAAGGATTCTTGATATTTGTTCACTTGTACTGTAGTAAAATAGAAGTTACCTGTAGTACTCTGTATCACATAAATTATATATGAATGATATATTATATTTCCTTTAATAGGAATCAAAATATAAATAGTTATTTGTGTATCTGATAATTCTATCATCAGCTTTTAGTTTATTGAAATAGAATTAACAGATGTCTGTGCTTTTTTTCTTCTTAGGAGTCAAGTGCACTTATTTTTTAATACAATTATTTTTTGTAAAGTACAGTACAACTTTCATGCCTGGTAGATGTAAATGTTGTAATTGCTCCAACAATGTGGCTGAACTATAGGCTGTATCTCGCGCTGTACTGGTTACCGTCAGCAGTTACACTGATTCAATACTACACTAGTTGTTCATTAATGTTTTACTGATTGTTATCAGTTGGTGTATTATTCATAGCCAGTGGTTGTGCTGGTTGTTGACACTAGTTGTACAGTGTTCATTGCCAGTGGTTGTGCTGGCTTTTGTATTAAAGGTTTTATGTGTTGTCTTGGAATATTAGCATTTCTAGAATTGTGTCTTATGTGAAAATCATTTACATTGTCCTTCCTGAGAATAAGTGATCAGCATCAGCTGTGTATACACTGAAGTCCACCAAACCTTGCTAGTTTAACTGAACTCCACCTAATCTATTTAAGATATACTGTAGCTCCTGATATTCAGCTTTAAAAGCTTTGCAAGATAAGTACATTGATTACTATCAGAAGGTATGTAGGTACAGTGGAAATATGATTTCCTCTCACTACAACATCCAGGGTTTGATTCCTATTTAGATATGATAAGAGGGTTATTCAGTGTATAACTACTGAATATTGTAGGTTTCGTTTGGGTACACTGGCTTCTTGCTTACTAAAATTTGATCCATTTTCGATGGACAAACTCATCAGAAACAATGTGGGAATTAAACAAGCCCTTGACTTACAAAAGACACTTTACCAACTGTAGGACCACTTGCAGCAACACTTGCTTCCTTTTTTTTCACTTTAATTTTTGTATCATTGCTCTTGTAATAGTTACCAACAAAGGCCAAACTCTCTTCCCTAATTCATTAAGCCCAATGTATCAGTAAGAGACATCAGTGTTCTCTATCACTTTTCACTTGGCTCAGTACCACTTACTTTTCTTCAAGATTATATCATTACAAACTAGATAAGGGCATACACAAATGAGAGTTAAAGAAGATTAATGCATTACAATACCGTATTTATATATCTGAGAAAACTACAGCAAGTTGCTTATTAATATCAGAAATATTTTCATAGAAAATGTAATGATGTACTCGTACAGTAAATATGACCCACAGAAATAGGACACATTTTTCTTTTAGATTTACTAGCATAATTGAGGGATGGGTTTCTGGGGCAGATATCCAAACACCTGAGCATAATCTGAACCTCACAACTAAATATAGAAACAAATTAAACAATTCACATCAGCAAAAATAAAAACAAGATAACCTAATTTATCTGGGGGAATATCACTCAACATTCCTTGAATGTCTAAATACTTAGAACTGAAGCAGATTCACTGGTTGGGGGGCACAGCATTGCTACTTTGAACTCTTAGCTGGCATTGGCATTAACACATGACATTAATTCTGGCACTAGGATTGTTTTTTTGTTTTGTTTTTGCATTCATATGACATAATGAGGTTAAGTCAGACAAGCACGATTCATGAAGTTGCTCAGTTATTTTCTTACACCATCACTGTTCTACATGACACTGCACAGTGTGCACACACATATTACATCTGATTATCACTTATACAAAAAATACTCTTAATATTGTATTTTATGGCAGTTTTTGTGATAACTTTCTTTATCATTTGAAATATAGGTTATTAGTCAACAGTCTTGATAAAAAATGTACTGTGAACCAGGATATTGAACTTGACTTGTGAATGGTCATTATCAAAAGATATTTGACAGCCATTTTTATTTTATTGGATGTACTTATCTGTCGGTGAAGTGCTTCTTGCCTAAATTTATATTTGTTCTGCTGTTGTTTGTTCTTTCTTATTGGAATAACTGGTTGTTACCAAATTGTCCACTGATTGTTCTGAGTGGTTATACAGTTTATCTGTAGATCAATTATGACTTGTTGATTTTTTGCCAGTAGATATACTGGCTGCTTACATTTTAATACTCTTTATCCCTTTCTGCTTTCTTAGTACTCTTAATCAGACTTCAGATTTTAATGTTCCTCTTGCATTATTGGATGTATATAATGCACTGCCACTTTTTGAGAAGTCACTAGATAAAGTACATCTGGTTTCCTTGTTTCAATAGCACCTAGAGGTGCTAAGGGTTTTCATTTTACACTGCAGTACTTGAAATCTCCTTTTTAGTTAGCAGTATAGGTTGTTACAAACAATGAACCAAGACTTTTTGCGATTTAAGAAATATAATGATGTTATTTAAATGTCAAGAGAATCAGTATACTGGTAGTATGTGGCACCATGGTAGTGTTCACTGCCATGTGTACCACATACTGAGGTACAGCCCGTAGATACAATGCCAAGCAAAATTTTTGCACAGTGCCTGAGGTTATGGAGGTGCCTGCAGGGACCTCCTCAGTGATGGTATTTGCTGTTTAGGGCCGCCGCTTGTCCTTGTTGTTCGTGGTGTTATAGAGTAGCGGTGTACATCTTCCATCTGCACACACTTACACACACCCTCGCACAAATGCATGTCATCCCGTCACCCATATACATGTACACATCCTAGCATGTCACCTCAAAATACCCACTTCAACATATACACAAATATTTCATATATGCATGCTATTATTGTTTGAGTTAGTCTCTTACTTTTGTTGTTAACATTATACAGGATGTAATGAATGCATATACAGTATACATAAATATATTAAAGAATTCTTTTATATTTCATTCAGACACACATCTCACACATGTCTACTTTTCAAGTATTACAATGATAGAGTAACATGGATAGCTTAACATGGAAATTTTTTTAGAGAGTACCGGTATGTATGTTGCAACATGATGTAATGACTCTCAAAGGCTCATGGAAGCCCTTCAGAAATGTTTTGTAGGTATTGTAACTGAAAATGTCACTGGAAAATAACTTATTAAAGTAAGATGTGTAGGTATATTTTTGTTTATTTTTTTGCAAAAGGTAGTGCAGTAATAGGAGAAATATACTGATATTATGTAACACTGTAGTATAGCTTAATAGTGCTTTTTCTTATTGAGTCATTATGCCATTTATCAAATGTGAGGTTCATTTTAATAATATTTCCAGTAACCTATATAGTGCACACTAATACAGAACCTTTGTTACATTATTTACTAACTGTTGCATCAAGCAATATAGATTGTTGGGTTAGGTAAGGTATACATAGAAACTAATTAACTCATTACAGTGATTCCTCACCAATCAAAGGGGGTTACATTCTAGAATTCTTCACAGATGAAAAACTGTGGTTGGCAAGGGCTGGATCAGATGGGAAATAAGCAATTTGGGGAAGTGACCCCTGAGAGAGGTACCTAATGTTCTATAATGTACAGGTCAAGGTTGAAAAAAGTACAGGGTGTATTCTATATTGAACAGTACTTGAAAAAAGGGATTTAATTCCTGGATATGTGTACTGTACTGTATAAAAGTACACAGTACTGTAGAGGTATTAAAAAAAAAATGAAAATACACCTAACCGTATTGCTATCCCTAGCAATGCTTCACCCTTTAACCACACAAATTGGTGGACAAAGTTTTTATCCATAAGGTTTTCATATGCAAATGTGTGTATAAACAGCATAGTTAAAAAAAATCGGGGTTTGACAAGAGATCACATGTGAAAAGGCAGAGAACATGCATTAACATACCTAGGTATAAAGCTAGACGTCGCATTTTGGACTATATCACAAAAACTGGTTTTCAGAAATAAACGGCTTGTAGGGGTATCGAGATATTAATGTTGTCTAGCACTCAGGATGGAAGGAAACTCTAATGTGGTTTTCTTGTATAATATAAGTTATATGATAGACAGTCTGGTGCTGGAGGTGCAGAATGAGAGTTGGTTGGTGAGGAAGCTCAGAGAAGGACAGCTGGTGGGTCGCCATGCTCGCTGGCGGGAGCGAGGACCGCCAGGCAGGTGAGGAGGAGAGAAGGCTGCCAGGCAGCGGCGAAGGAGGAGGTGTTGCTTGTTCAAGAAGAATGGTCAGAATGAATATCAATGGAGAGACAGAGCTTACATACCCAGCAGCAGCCGCTATGAGTCATGTTGGGAAAACCTGAGAAGTCGCCGGTGACTGGTTCCGTTGCTAAGATACGGTAACATCTGGTTGGTTGCTAGGGAAGGCGGTAACAGGTGGTGGCAGCTACGCAGTTTGTAGGGGAGACGTCCACTACAATACTCCCCCTTCCCTCCAGGCGGTGTAGGAGACTTGTTGTCTGCAGAGTTGCTTAGCACATGTGAGGCAGACTGGGCGGTGCATGTCTCATGTGAGACAACGGCGATGGCGTGATGAGCCGATCGCTGAAATACAACTGTCTAGATACACACTATATGTGGGAGAAGGGAGAAAAAGGGTGTGTGGAGGCGATGAATGTTGTGCTTCCCTCACGACAGGTACAGGGTCGTCAGATGCGCCTGCTGGGGTGTGTGTGGGCCTGGGTCAGGAGCAGGGGCTGCGTCAGCAGAAGCGGATTAGGGCTCGTGACAGCAGCTGGGTCCACGACAGCAGCAGGGTGCAGGACATTAGCAGGGAGTACCTGAGGGAGAAAAGAGGGGGTGTGGAGGCGATGGATGTTGTGTGCTTCCCTCACGGCAGGTACTGAGTCGTC